AGAATAATAGTTGGAAAGGTAGCAGCATATGTAGGTACAGCTGTTGGTAGGTGGATGGATGTGATGGTGAGAGTTTGTAGAAATTTTGATTGCTCCAGTTTTCTTGCCAAAATAGAAAATAAGGTCATCAGCTGAGAGAGGAGGAGGTATTGGAGGTTAGGAGAGGTTAGTAAAGAAGGTAGGAATTAGTTATATAGGAGAGTAGAAGAGTGAATGAATGAGAGAAATAGAGTATGACTGTCCAGCAGGATTAAGGATCCATTTGAGGGTAGATATGTGAAATCGACATTTTGGAGGGTTTGTAGGTATTGGTAATACTAAAGTTTAGGATATGGAGTGAATGGCTCAAATAGGGTAGAGGAGAAGATCTTTGGAAGAGAGGAGTTCCAGGAGCCAAGAGGTTAGCATGATGGAAGTATCACTTACATATATATGAAAATCTCCAACAATTAAAAAAAGATAGAGTTGGATGGAATGACAGTGAATCAGAAGCTATAAGATCATTGCTAAATGAAGGGCAGTGACCCAGGAGTCCATAGGTGGCAACACTAGGACATGACTGAAAATGGCAGAGTAGGGAACTCCAGAGCTCTATACCTCCATAAAAGCAACTAATGAACTGGCAAAAACTGTCAATCAACTTTTACAGAATTCTGGAATTTAGTAAAAAACTTACAACAGTCAAAGAAAGGCTGGGTGAAGGAAGAAGCTGCTGCTTTGGGGAAGAGAGCACTGTGATGTTATAAATTGCCTCACACGCAGATCGATGATGGCCATGAAGATAGAAGTCTGCACTCCTAGTGTAGATTGCTAATGCCAGAGGACATAAAGAATTGTGGGTTGCGATCTCTCTGTTCCCTGAAGGACTTGTGCAAGAGCCTGTTTTTGTTTTGCCTGATTAGGAGCATCTCCAGAGCTGGGGTGGCTTTTGCCAAAAGGATTCTAAGGCACAACTACTGGCTTTAGCAGCTTGGAGTGAGAGGCAACAGTTAGACGAGCAATAGAGAGACTGAAAGCCTGGGAAAAAAGAAGGTTGATGAGATAATACGGGGGAATAGCATGTACGAGGGAATTGGAACAAAAGGCCGTGCTTATGCCCAGAACTGGATACCTACTCAGAAAAGGACTGAGAAGATCCTAGGCTTTTTCCTCTGCCTGGCCTTCAGGCTCTGCACAAGCAAGAAGTGAAGACTTAAGACAGAATTGTAAATGACCTGGCCAAGTGTTGAAGCATGCCCAAACACAGAGCTAGTATGCAAAGACTGGGAGAGTGTTTTTTTTTTCTCTTTTTTTTTTTTCCTGGCTTCAGGCCTTTAAGAAAACTCAAAACATTAGCTGACCACTCCGCTAACAGAACACAGATTTCAGTGACCGCACAGGACAATAATATAGACTTCACAAAAATGTCACTAAACAAGCAAACAGCAGTAGCCCACAATAAGCATCAACAAACCCCAAAGATGGGGCAGAATTTGATTTTCAGAGTTGCCACATAATATTCAAAGTATCCAGTTTTCAACAAGAGATAATGAGGTATGCAATGAAACATAGTATGGCTCATTCACAAGAAAATAGAAACTATCCCTGAGCAAACCCAGGTGATGGACTTATTAGATAATTTAAATCACCAGTCCTAAATATGCTTATGATCTATATAGGAAACCATGGGCAAAGAGCTAAAGGAGGTCAGGCAGAATATCAAAAAAGGAATAGAAATTATGAACAAAGGAACCAAACATTCTGGAGTCAAAAAGTATGATAACTGAAATGAAAAATTCACTAGAGGGTTATAACAGATTTGAGAAGGCTGAAGAAACAGCGAACTTAATGAGCCAATTGAGGTTATCCAGTATGAGGAGCAGAAAGAGAAAAGAATGAAGAAAAATGAACAGAGTCTAAGAGACTATAGGACACCATCCAAAATCAGTATGTATATTAGACTCCCAGAAGCAGAGGAGAGAGAGAAAGGGATAGGAAGTAATGTTTGAAAAAAAATAATGGTTGAAAACTTCCCAAATATGATGAAAGATGTGAATCTACACATCTAAGAAGCTCCACAAACACTTAAGTGGATAAACTCAGAGCCACACCAAAACACATTATACTCAGATTGTTGAAAGACAAAGAATTTTGAAAGCAGCAAAACCGATGTGACCCATTGCATACAAAAGATCCTCAAGATTAACAGGTGATTTCTCTTCAGAAGGCAGTAGGATGGCATGAAGTGTTGAAAGAACAAAACTGTCAAAGAATTCTGTAGTAAAACTATCCTTCAAAAATGGTAGTTTATGACATTCCAAGATAAACAAAAGTTGGGGGAATTTGTTGCTAGTAGACCTTAGAAGAAATGCTGAAGAGAGTCCTTTGGGCTGAAATGAAAGGACACTAGACAATAACTTGAAGCTGTATGAAGAAATAAAGAAGTAACAGGTAAAGGTAACTATATAGGTAAATATAAAAGCCAACATTACTGTATTTTTTTGGTTTGTAGTTCCTTTTTTCTTACAAGATTTAAAAGACAAAGTAATAAAACAATAATTATAAATCTAATTGGCAAACAGTATAACAATATAAAAGGGGGAGGGATTGAGGTGTATAGGTACAGAGTTTTTGTATACTATTGAAGCTAAATTGGTATTAGTTCAAACTAGATTATTATGTTTAAAATATCACTTGCAATACCCAGGGTAACCACTAGGAAAATAACTAAAAAAATAGAAAAGGAAAGAAGGGAATCAAAAGGGCACACACAAAAAAATCAAACACAAAAGAAGGCACTAATGGAAGGAATGAGGAACAATAACAACAAAAATATATATATATTAGACCTGTAGAAAACAAATAGAAAAATGGCAGAAGTCCTTCCTTGTCAGTTATTACTTTAAATGTAAATGGATTAAAATTTGTAATCAAAAGGCAGTTTGGCAGAATGTATAAAACATGATTCAACTATATGCTGTCTATAAGCAACTCACTTTTAGATCCAAAGATAGAAGTATGTTCAAAATGGAAAATCCTAGGCAAATAGTATCCATGAGAGAGCTGGGGTGGCTATTCTAATATCAGACAAAATAGACTTGAAGACAAAAAATTTTTACAATAGACAGCAAAGGACATTATATATTGATAAAAGGGTCAACCCATGAAGAAAATAAAACAGTTATAAACACATTTGCACCAAACAGAGCCTCAAAATATATGAAGCATACATTAACAGGATTGCAAGGAGAAATAGTTCTGCAATAATTGTTGGACATTTCCATACCCCACTCTCATTAATGGATAGAACAACTAGACAAAAGGAAATAGAGGACTTGAACAGCCACTATAAACCAATTAGACTTAACAGACATACATATAACAGTACCTAGCTAGCAACAGTAGATTACGTATTCTTCTCAAGTGTGCATGGGATGTTCTACAGGATAGACCCTATCTTTGACCACAAAGTATGTCTCAATAAATTTATAACATTGAAATCCTACAAAATATTTTCTTTGACCGCAATGGAATGAAACTAGATCACAGCAATAGTGAGGGATAGTGAGCGATTGGAAATTCAAAGCTGGGTGGGCTTTAGGGGAGGGTAGAGGGAGAATAGTCTGAAAACAACTATAAAAAGCAAAGATGACTCATAACCCACCTCCAGGCCGAGTAGTGTGAGGGGTCTGGGGAAAAGAGCCACCACTTGACTGGGTTACAGTGAGAGTGGTATTCCTAGGGAGTCTTAGGCTCTGCTTGAGCAAGAAAGTGAAGGGAACAGTTAGAGGAGAAGTTCAGGATATATAGGGGGTTTTGCTGAGGATGGGATTATGAATTCCAGAGGAGTCCATGGCACTTTTTCAAGAATGCAGAAAGGTGGTTTAGGACAGAACAGGGATTGTACAGAGCAATATGAAGATCAGAGTATGGGAGTTTATGTTTGGCCTGGGAGTCAAGGGCTTCTTGTGGTGGACTCATTGTAACAGAGATAATGGGAATAATGAGTGTGTGCCTGGTGGATTCAAGTCAGATAATAAGCTTTTGTGGGTTTGCTCTGAGACCTTGACCACCATTTGTTTTTATAGGAAAATGTTTTGATACTAAATAACCATTTATATACATTTAGAATTAAACTATTGTGAAGTGGAAGACTTACCTGTCTTAAGAAATACAGTGAACAGTGCCTTCTTTATAGGATATCCATTAGTTTGGTTAGCCTCCGTGTTATATCCATAACACCTATTACAATTGTGGGGAACCTTACAAAGATCCTGTTTACAGTGTTGAGTAGGAACGGAACATAATGTATTGTCACTGTTTGCTTTTTATTCGCATTTGGCCATTTAGTAATTGCCAGTTGTCATGACTTCAGTCTTCCATTCAGCTGATCCCAAACAGTTTAAAAATTAGAGGAAAAGTCTTCTTGATTCAAAGATCCTTCTGTTTCTGTGACAGTTCCCTGGAATCGGCCATTCTGTATTTTAAAATGTTGATTTATCCATGTGTAATATGGATAGACACCCGTTTTGAAGGGGGAAATCAGTTGACAAGCAGATATATTTAGCACAAAACCCAAGAAGTAAAAGAATAGGGAGAAAAGTATAAAGTAGACACAGATAGTTCAGCACTTCCAAATTTGTCACTCTTGTCTGTCTGCATCTCCACTGAGAACTACTTGAAAAAGCAAGTTAAGAAAACACACATACAAACAAAACCCAAAACTAAGTATTATGCAGTATAAAATCTCACTAACTCTATTTGATTTTCTGTTGAAATATTAGCATGCACTGTAAAATGTGTCCATTTTTGAAACCTTTGTGTTCATCAGAATATGTTCCAGTGTGAAAAGGGATGTTGACCTAATTATCTTTGTCCTCAGTTCAGATGTCATGTATGATCAGGAAGAGCAGTGAAGCTTATTGTTGATCTAGTTATTAGATTCTTGATTATTGGTAGGTAAAGGATATGATTTTAGTTTTACTTTATGCACTAAATAGAAACTTTTTTTGTTTTTCAAGGAACCAAATGGAGAGACTCCTTCATCTTTATACAGAGTTGCAGCAGTACTTCTACAGTTTAATCTTATTGATTTAGATGATCTTTATGTACATGTAAGTCAAGTGGGCTGCTAAGAATATTTGGTTGTCCATCCCAGGGGTGGGAAGAGGAGTAGGCAGCCATATAGCACTTCAAGGTTGGTCAGGCTCTCAAGTTTTAATTTTTGAAGCCCTAATGCATTATTGCTTTGTGTTTACTTTATGAAGTGAATGAATTTAATTCTTTGACAAACTATGGAAATTAAATACCCTCTACCACTCTTACAGAGTTTGAGGTTGGATATGAAGTTAAAGTTCTTAATTGTCAGCAAGGTATATCTCATGGGGAGAGAGGCCAAGTTCTAACCAATGTGGTTTTAGACTTCTGTGTTATATGCAAATTATCAGAAATATGGGATTACCTAGATACTTTTTCCTTCTCCCCAAAATGTTAATTTTAGGCATTCAAGATGAATGGGGCAAGTCTGTATATTTTTTAATGGCTTTTCTTGTGTTTTTACTGGGTAGTAAATGACTAGTATTATGCTTTTATTGCTGGATCCAGGATCTAGAAGAGTGTATATGTAATTGTGATTGATGACCTCCAGTTTAGCAACAGTTTAGCCTGTCAGTTTGAAAAAACTAGGTTTGTAGTATAGAAATTCCTGTTTTATTTGGTTGTACATTTGGACATCTATGGACTTAAACCTGTCCAAAGCTGATATCATCTTCATTGTCTTTGAAATCACTTTTTCTCTCATATACTGTGGTTACAGAGTTGAATAAAACTTAGTCTCTACCTTGGAAGCAGTCATAGTTTAGCAATGGAGAAAACATTTTGCATTATATAGTAACTACTCTATTGGAGGTATTCACAAAGTGCTGTGGGGGCTCAGAATAGATAGTGACCATGTTTGTCTGGGGGGGATTTTGGAAGGCTTTTTCAAACTAGTGGTGTTGAACTGAGATGTTGGTAGATGAGATGGTAATGGCCTGGCTTTAAAGGTGGGAAGTTTTGTAGGTAGAATTAACTGAGTATAAAGGCAAAAGGATTGGAGGGGCTTCATTATCGCCTTAGGGGAACATCAGGAAGCTCTGAGTGGTTGGAGCCTAGGCTAGTATGTGGGGTGATGAAGATGGAGAAGTAGATTGGGGCTAAACATTACAGGGCCTTAAGTGCCATAGTAAGGAGTTTGAATTTTTTCTTGTTGGGAGTAGAGAGCCATTCAAGATTTAAAGTAGAAAAGTGATGTTACAAACTGAGAACATGGAAAATTGGTCAGAAAAAGGGGAATTCAAAGACAGGTATGAGTTTATAGGTAAGTATTAGACTGGTGGGACAAATGGAAAGATGATAGATGATGATAGATTTATTACTGAAATGTTTGAGTTTAACAATAAATGCAAGTGGCCTAAGTGTTCCTGTTAAGTTGTCAGAGATTTTCAGATGGGATTAAAAACCAGTTTATTGTTTATTTTTCACATGAGACTTCCAAAACCTAAGGACAAAGGAAGGTTGAAAGTAAATGGGTGGGAAAAATATACCAGGGAAATTATTATTGTTAGACAAAATGGACTTTTTGGCAAAAAATGATAGTAACTTCATAGTAAATAAAGTTGTGTTCACAGGAAGATGAAACATTTGTAACTTTATATGCATTTAATTACGTATTCTCAAAATACACAAAACTAGAATTGAGAGGAACTATAAAAGAAACATACAGGGGTGCCTGGCTGGCCCAGTTGGTAGAGTGTGCGACTCTTGATCTCCAGGATGTGAGTTTGAGCCCCATGTTGGGTGAAGAGATTACTTAAAATAATAAAAAAAATAAACTTATAGTTTATTCATTATAATGGGAGATTTTTTAGAGGCAGTTGCATTAATCTAGGTAAAAGATGAGGACCTTTGGCAGGTAAATAGGTAAAGCAATAAAAAATGGGTTTGCTGGCCAGTGGAGAGCAGGAAGAATGAGAAAAAGTCTTGCTTACTCCTTGCCATCAGTCCCTAGTGACTTTTCTTCTGCCTCCATTTTTGACTAATGGGATGAAGTGTACAATACGTTGTTTAATATTTTACTATGTTTCATTTTATTGTTTAGTGATTATTTACTTTGCATTAAACTTAGTTACTGAAGTAGATTATGTATTTCTGGGGGCAGGAACACTTCTTTCATAGCCTACCATAGTGCCTAGCAGAAACTACATGGTTTGTTGGCTGTATTTTTCCTTGTGTCTGGGTTTTTTTAAATTTATTTTATGAAATATCTACATTAACCTTCTACTCATACAAGATGGCTGTACTAGAGATATTTGGTCCTTTTTCATAATGGAAGATTGACTATACACGTATTACTTTCCCTTTTGTAATAAGCTAGAAACTAGTTTGTGACTAAAGTCATCAAATAGGTATTAGAAGATGAAAAGTGAGAGTTGCTCATAATTTTTCTACTTGAGATTTTTCATCTAGAGGAATTAAATTTACCCCTTCATGTAATTTAGTAGCTCATGTCTCCCAAATTGGATCCATATGCAGTACTTTATTTAACTTGGAATTTGACCTTTAAAGGGGAAATCTGTGATATTTTTAATGGAACAGTTATACATTTTCTTGGGTAATCTAATAAATTCAATGGTAAGCATCACTGTTGTAGTATTGTATTAATGTAGGACCTCTAACAGAAAGAAGACATGGAACTTTGAACTGCTATCTGATTTTAAAAGGTGTACAAATTTCAGATACGTAACCCTGTTAGATTATAAGAAAATAATGGAGAGAAACTTACTTTGAAGGCAAATCATGGTCGTTAATAGGCTAGACCTTATTTACAATTTTATCAATTCAGAGTAGTGTTTGCTTTTTATATGTGCAAATAGTATTAGCTGTTTTATGAAACTTTAATGAACCATTTTTAGCTTCTTCCAGCTGATAATTGCATTATGGATGAACACAAACGAGAAATTGTGGAAGCTAAGCAAATTGTTAGAAAACTTACGATGGTTGTATTGTCTTCTGAAAAAATTGATGAGCGAGAGAAAGAAAAGGAAAAAGAAGAGGAGAAAGTAGAGAAGGTATATATATATGGTTCCTTTTTGTAAAATTAACATTGTCTTCTGGATTTAGAATTAGGAAATTTAACTTGTAATAGTTAATCAACTTATGGGAGAATAACTTATTAATTTTGATTGTGGTGAAATCTGGTTTTTGGAATACCGATTTTCAAAGGTGGTTTTGTTTTTAATCTGATTGGCACCTTCCCAAAAGAGGCTGCCATGTTTTTTTCTTACATAAATTTCAAAATGTACCCTAAGTGAAATATATTTGTGCTCTGTGTATTAATGTCTCTCAAGTCCTAAGGGGATTCTCAAAGATGAATGAATTCTAGTTCCCTATGGCACAGTAAGACATTAAATAGAACTTAATTTAATTCCAGATCTATAAACTGTCATGCTGTGTCTGCTAAATGAAAGAGCATATCCTGTTGTTTTTTTCAGTAGCTAAAAAACTTGATTGTACTTTCAGGGAAATATTGCATTTCCCATGAGTGGCAGCTGTTGACATACATTATTATGGTTATTGAGCTCAATTTTTTTAAATGAAAAAATACTGAGATTTATTGGTGTCTATATTCTGAGTATCTTTGCTGTAATTGTTCATTTTTAGCCACCTGACAACCAAAAACTTGGTTTGTTGGAAGCCTTGTTAAAGATTGGTGATTGGCAGCATGCGCAGAACATTATGGATCAGATGCCTCCATACTATGCAGCTTCACATAAGCTAATAGCCCTTGCAATTTGCAAGCTCATTCACATAACTATTGAGCCTCTCTACCGAAGGTATGTTACAGTATGCTTTTCTAATCATTGAGGTAGAAATAGCTTAGGACTACAGTAAAAAATCTACATATTTATCTTGTCTTCTCCAACCAAGCAAATATTTTAGTATGTTTTATTAGAAGATAAGAACTATTCACAGAGTGTATCAGTTTTATATGTATTAATCAGTGACTTGTCTCCTAACGTCTAGACCAGGTGATGCAGAAGGTGTGCTGCAGCGTAGTTGGAAAACTAGGTTAGACATCTAGGTTGGGTTTGCTCCACAGAGAGTGAAAACTCCATTCTTCTGTTTTTGACTTTTCCTCCTCTCTTGGTGGGGGGCAGAGAATTCCTCAGGTTTTTATTTAGTGTAAATTTCCTCTGTCCCGGGTTGAGTGGCTCTGAGTGAGGACATTGCCTCTCTGCTTGCCTTATCTCTTCTGGCGTATAGGCTGCTGTTCTGGAAATTGCTAGTGCAGCCTTTCTCATCACCCCTAGATACTGTGTCGACCAGTCCTCTAGCCCTCAGCCTACTTGCAGGATACTTAGGAGCAGTATTGGCAGCAGCTCTGGCTTCAGCCCCACAGATCAGAGCCTGCCTCAAAAGCCCCAGCCTTGTGACTCGTGCATAGCTGCTGGCTGCTGCCTTTAGTGCCACCTGGGCTGTGGACCATGAAGGCTTCTTCTCAAAGAGTGACCCCTGTGACTCCACAGCGGGACACCTGCTCAGCAGGTGAGAACTCTGGGCATGCTGTCCTTTTTAGTGTGACACCCTCTTTCATTATGCTGCTCACCTTCCCTACCACCACCTACCTCATACTCAGTCTAGGTAGTGGAACCCACATTGAGAAGTGTTTATTGACTTGAATCTCTGTTGTTATATCCATATTTTTGTTTCATCTTCCAGTGTCTCTGAGGTCCATCCCTTGTTCCCCATTCCCATATCCAAATTCCTGATACCGGCCAAGTTTAACTAAAACCAAATTCATACAATGTATGTTAAATGTTACTTGAAATATGCGTTTCTCTGATTTCCTTATGCAATTAATTTGAAACATTCTCTGAACTCTGATTGTTTCCAAATGAGTATTTTTTGTCTTTTTCTACCAGCTAAATTATCTGGTATTAATTAATAAAGTCAGGCACAAGTGAAACATAGAAATCAAATTTGAGCAAGAAAAGCTTTACTTATTGATTAATATGACTGTGTTAACTTAAAATGGGGTATTGTATAGTATACATATAAATTTTGCTTTTTATAGAGTTGGCGTTCCTAAAGGTGCTAAAGGTTCACCTGTTAATGCTTTGCAAAATAAGAGGGCACCAAAACAAGCAGAGAGCTTTGAAGATTTGAGGAGAGATGTCTTCAATATGTTCTGTTACCTTGGTCCTCACCTTTCGCATGATCCCATTTTATTTGCAAAAGTGGTGCGCATAGGCAAATCATTTATGAAAGAGGTTAGTAAGATTTTTTTTTCCTTCTAAGCAGAAAACTAAATTTTGGAATGAAAATGTTCTATGTATATTTGTCTTATGCATATCTCTAGAAATAAAAAGAAAAGTGAACTTAATTTAAGAAAAGGTTATGTTGAGTAAGGTTTGGGGAAAGTCCATTGTGTCCTAACCACATATATGCGTGTGTGCGCGTGACACACACACACACACACACACACACACACACACACACACTTAGGTAGAAAATTAGTCAAGTCCCATAGGAAATTAGTCAAGTCCCCATAGGAAAATGTACTTTGGACAAGTGGTTGCTTTTTGAATCCCTTTATAATTTTAGTGATCAACTCAGCTTTCTTTCCCCCTTACTTTTCTTCTACTCCGTTATTTTCTTGGTTGCAATTTTGAATCATTGTGATTATTTGTATGAAGTCAGACTGTTGAGGATGCATTCTTTGCTAGTAAACTTTTTATTTGAAATAAAATGTACAGAAAGTAACAAATCATAATTGTACACCTCAGTGACTTTTTCCAAACCACTCATGTATCCCCTGCCCTGATTAAAAAATAGAACACTACCCCAGAGTTCCCGTGTACTCTCTTCTAGTTAATACCCTAAGGATAACCCTTTATGCTATTAACTAAATTTTAAAATTGGCTTTGAGTTATAATTTACATACAGTAAACTTCATCAATTTGAAGTTTACAATTTGATGAGTTTTGACAAAGGTATACAGTTGTGTGTCCACCACCACAATCATGATAGAGAATGTTTTAATCACCCCAGAAAGTTCCCTATTGCCCCTTTGCCATGAATTCTGTCCCTTCGTTGCTGGTTCTTGGCAACCACTGATAGGCTTTTTGTCACTATAGTTTTGCTTTTTCTAGAACGTCATGTAAATGGAATTGTATAGAATGTACTCTTTTTTGTCTGGTTTCTTTCATGTAATGCTTTTGAGATTCATCCAAGTTGTTGCACGTGTCAGTAGTTCCTTTATTGCTGAGCAATGTTAGATAGACATACCAGAGTTTATGCATTCTCCTCCAATTGATGGGCATTGGGGTTGTTTCTAGTTGGGGGCTATTATAAATAAAGCTGCTATGAATATTCCTGTACAAGTCTTTTTTTGGGGGGGAATATGTTTTTGTTTCCCCAGGAATGGGATTGCTGGGCCATATGGGTAAGTGTATGTTTAACTTTTTGCCAAACTGTTCCAACGTGTGCGTACCATTTTGCATTCCTGTATATGACTTCCAGTTGTTCCACATCCTCATCAGCACTTGTTATTGTCACTCTTAAATTTTAGTCATTCTAGTGGGTGTGTATTGGTACCTATTGTGCTTTTGTTTCCCTGACGATCGGTGATGTTGAGCATCTTTTCATGTTCTTATTTGCCATTTGTAATCATCGTATATCGAAATGTCTATTCAAATCTCTACCCACTTTAATTGGGTTGTCTTGTTATTTCTCTGATTTGCCTTTTCATTATGTTAATTGTCTTTTGAAAAGCAAAATTTTAAATTATTTCCAATTTAGCAGTATTTTTATGGTTTCTTCTTTGTGTTCTAAGAGATCTTTGCCTAACCCAAGGTCTTGAAATAGAAAAGAATACATAATTTTCATTTGTAAAAACAAGGCTGCCAAAAGTATCTGCAAATCGTTATAAGCACAAATACAGTTTTCTCCAGAGTTTGGTGATTGCATCTAATTTTAATTTTTGACAGCAGTGACTATACAGAAAATTTATCAGCTGTTGTATATTAATCCCTTGGCACCTGAAGTATTTGATTTGGCTTTTAATACTTTTTTTTTTTAAATGCTCTCAAATTTACATCATGTAAAGGTACTCTAAAGAAATCTGCTGGGCGCCTGGGTGGCTCAGTCAATTAAGCATCTGCCTTCCGCTCAGGGCATGATCCCAGGGTCCTGGGATCAAGTCCCGCATCGGGCTCCCTGCTCAGCAGGGAGTCTGCTTCTCCCTCTGTCCCTCCCCTCTGCTTGTTCTCTGTCTCACTCACTCTCAAAATCTTAAAACCACTACAGTTATCAAAGTCAATAAATTAACATTGATACCATATTATTAAAAATCTAAGTTTATTACTATACAAATCATTTATTATATAACATATATGAAAAGGAAGTATAATGATGTTCCATTATTTTAATTCTTATAGTCTGAAAGGGATGAGTCATGTTAGTAGTGCCTGTTCAAAGAACAAAAGGGTCATGTCTTTCCCAGTGCCTCATACTGGGAAGCATATGAAGTCAATCTGTCCCATTACTGGTGATGTTAACATAGATCACTTAGTTAAGGTAGTGCTCTACCAGGTTTCTCTAGGGTACAATTATTTTTTTTCCTTTGTTGCTAATATATATCTTGTGGGGAGATACTTTTTTTGACAATGTAAATAGCCTCTTTCTCATCTTACTTTCACCCACTAATGCTATTCTTTTTAACTGAACATCTTAATGTTCAGATCTCTTGTTCTGAAATTCTTTCTTTGGCTGCAAGTATTAAAAACCTATAAGCAGGAGACCAAACATCCAGGTTGTGGAAGTCCTATACATAGACATATGCATGAACATATGCACAAACATAGACAGTATTGTTACCAAGATGTGCAGGTGGTAGAGCTGTCACCCTTCCCCTCTGCCATCTCCATCGCAGCTCTCCTGTACCTCTGTTCTATCACAGTTGTGCCTGGTGCCTGCCCCTAACTCCGGTCTCTATTTTTGCAGAGGTAGAAGGGCAGAAAGGAAGAGGAAAATGTTTATTTTGATCACAGTGTGGGAAGAAATCTGTCTTCTCTCATTGCTAAGGTTGTGGTAGGAAAAGTGAATCTTTCCAACGATCTGAGTTAGAATTTTGGTTAATTTTTTACCCATGAAAATATTTAACTGTAACAAATCATTTGTTCTGTGTTTATAGGTTTAAAAGGCTTTTGTTGCTTAGCTAGGAATTTAACTAGGGTATGTAAGATTGTTTCTAAAGGAGGAGTTTGACCTTAGTTCCAAATAATATAATTAAATGTCTTTAACAACTCATTGTAAGCTTGGGGTTGTTTGTGTATATAATTTATGCATATTTTGAAAATGTTGGTTATATACTTATACCAGCTGTCACTTAACAGAATAGTCTTCTAGCCTACAGTTATTTGTAATCATTTATCTCTGTGTATTTCTTAAATTTGAGGTATATATCATAGGACCATCTAGTACAGTGATCTTCAAACTTTAGCATACATTAGAATCACCTGGAGCTCATCTTAAAACACATTGTTGGGTCCCGTCCTCAGAATTTCTGATTCAGTAGGTCTGGGTTGGAACCTACTGAAGAGAGTTTGCATTTCTAACAAGTTACCAGGTGATGCTGATGCTACTGATTCAAAAACCAAACTTTGAGAACTGTTGTTCTAGTATATTAAGCAATTTTGGTCTTTATTTCAGCCTTAAAAGAGGGGGTAGCTCTAAAGAATATTTCTATATGAATGGACAGACAGATTTTGCTATCTTTAATTTTCTTTAATTGTAGAGCATAGCTTTAACATGCTCACCTGACATACTTAAATGGCCTTGACAGCACCTATACAACTAAAGATGAATTCCTTGGTGCTTTTTTGCATCCAGTTAATGTTAATGGATTAAGTTGTTTATGATAATGACAGTTAATATTGAGCTCTTACTCTGTGCCAGGTCCTATTCTAAGTACTTCATGTGAGTCAGCTCATTTAATCTTTACCATACCTTTTCTGCTTTAAGTTAAGTAAATTGTTCCAGGTCACACCATTAATATGGGGCAGGGCTGAGATTTCAATCCAGGCAATCTGGATTCAGAGGCCAAGCTCAAAATCATCATGCTCGCCTGCCTATACAAATGTAGTGTGTCTGAAGTGGAAGAAATGATAGGTTATCTAAATTTTGCAATTCTTGAAATTCCTTGCTATTTTAAATTAAATCTGTTAGTGGTATTTTGTTATTTTGTTTATCTCTACAGTCTGTGTTCATCTCAATCTGTGTATCTCATCTTCAAGCTTTTCTTGTTTTGTTAAGTTCATCCTTAAGACTTTTTTCTATGACTATATGTAGAAACTTGTGGAGAATCTGCCTCTGTCCTTTGTGTTCTACTTTCATCCACACTGAGTTCGTTTATCTTTTATATGCTTTTTTTGGGGGGAGGAGGCATGCTATTTATGTTTCCATTGTAGCCACAGCATTTCTTTTCATCTTAATATGTATAGCTTTGTTCACAACTTCTTTCTGATTTAGTGAGAGTGAATCTTCTTACCTTTCCTGCCTTATTTATGACCAGTCCTCCTCCCCCAAGCTACAGTCTAATAATTGGGTTCTCCTTTCAGTCTTTTCTGTAGGCTGTGATAAGGGAAGTGAATGAGCTCAGTGAGGCTGAGTATAGCCCTCATTTAGTACCTCTCCTTTCTCTTCTGAGATACTATTACCGATCCTCTACCATGTGGGCATGCCAGCTCCCTTGGGCTTTGACTCGCTCAGCCATCTAAGCACAGTTCCTGTGAATGACAGTAGGCTTCAGCAGCTGGTTCTTGCTTTGCCAGAGTCCTGGTGGGCTCCTGTTCACAAGAGGTTTTCCTCAGTCTACTCACTTACCTTGCAGGTTTTATTGCCTAAAGGATTTTGTTGACTTAACTTCCTTGGTCTGTACTACTTCTGGGATTGGGTTAAGGGCAGGAGCCATACCACACTGTGTGTAGTACCAGAATCGTGTGTGTGTGTGTGTGTGTCTCCCCGTCCCCTTGAAGTTAATAGCATAGTTTCCTGTTTTCTTGCTTGGTTGGTGGTGAATTTGGAGCGTTAAAACAACAGGGCATGCATTTTTCATTGCATTAGGGATAGGGGAGAGAAATTCTGCTTCACTCTGTCATCTTAATTCATTTGTCTGGGCAGGCTTTTTATATGGCTGTTTCTTATATTGGCCCTTGGTAAAAGCCAGCGTGCTTTAAATTGATTCATAGATGAAGCTTAGAGAAACCTA